ACAACCAAATGCAAGAGCCTCCATTGTGGGCCAAAATTGCTGGTTTTGGGGTACCTCATCTGAGACTGTATTTTGTGCCCCCTAATAATTCTGCTCTCTAGAATCTATTTAAGACTCATGGCCAAAAGTGCATTCCTAATAAACCCATTTGTTCATTTTGATCACAACATATTCATTATACAATTACAGGAGCAAGCATTATGTTCTGGCCCCACAGGAAGACAGATAACTGCTTACTGCCCCTTTGGGGATCTCTTTAGTTGTGATCCACATAACTCTGTTGCATGTCATCACCACCCTCCATTTGTAAGATAAGAACAAGAGTAGGAATAAAGACTACAAAAATGCACATTTTATTCTTCAAGGATAGTAGAGGATCATCATGACGTGTTGGAGGAAAGAGTAAATCTCTGAACTATGTTCTCTTTAGCCATATGCATTGTGATATAATCACTTCATCTCATTCTGCCATGGCAATTACCAACTATAATAGAAGAGACATTTTTTCCTCACCTCCTTGAGAAAAGTATGCTAAATATTTACAAGGAAGTGATGAGGAAGAAGAAGAAGAGTGTAGGGTTTTCTTCAAGGGCCTTTTTGCAGCCCTTGAGAGCCTAAATGTTCGCCTTGAAAATGTAATACAGTCCTTCAAATATATCTCACATAGACTATCTCATATGAATTATCTGCTCTACATTTGTTCATGTCATGAATTTCAAAGTGCAGGAGTATTTTAGAGTCAGTGGAAAATATTTCCTAAATGCAAATCAAATCTGGAATTTGGCAACTTGAGTCCTTCCCCAACCTGGCACTTTCCAGATGTTTTGGGCCTACAACTCCCCAAATTCCTAGCTAGTTGGCCATGTTGAAAATTATTTAAACAAACAAGAAGGGGAAAAAAATGAAAAGAACCCTTTTAAGTTCTCTGGTGTACTGAAGGAAACTTTTTAAAAAATTCCACATAATAGAAATGTACTACAGCCAGAAACTATTGGAAGAAGTCTGTGAAGACTATATAAGGAAAACACTGTGTAGAATGTATTATTTGATCCATTATTGTCATGTTTTAATTCTGTTGAAGAAGAAACTGCAAACTGGAATGCAGCATTGACGTTTAAAATGATTTAATCGCATTGGCTAGAATTATCCTTGGAAGCAATTGACAGAACTGTGGGAACAAGGATGCAGCATTCAGAAATGCCCCTGGAGTGTATCAGAACTTCCGTCAGTGCTAATGAAGTTTGCCGTTTTCATATATAGGCGTTTGCGTGTTCTAGACTCTTCTGCTTCTTTCAGAATTGTAACAAGAACCTCATGTGCTTGAGCAGCATTGGCTCAATTTACAGAAAAACAGATGAGAGGGAAATAAATATGATTGTTATTCAAGCCATGACTCTTATCAGTTATAGTTTTAGATGAATTAAGGGAGTAAACTGCAGACATGGATCCCATGAAGGTTGCTGGAATGAAGAAGAAGTAAATGTTGTTTCTTCTTTTTTAAAAATATAAAATCCAGCTCTTAAGAGATTCAATTTTTAGGCAAAACACAGTTTTTAAATCAATTACATAGCTTTCCTTTTCTCTGTCTAATGGTACAATAGAGGCGTGTGTGCAAAATAATTCCTTAAGCCATGTACTGAAAAGGCAACTAAAAATGATTTATTCTGATTTGTTTCTCTGGACCCTTAAAATAAGAGGCTTGTTGTGAAGCCATTTATCTAAAATCTGACATCATTTTTGATTCTATTTGACAGGAACGAAAAGGCATTTCTTGGTTTTGTTCAAACCTGTGGGTTTCCCCCAGAATGAATGGCATCCCAGTGCAGAGTGCTCAAAAAAATTAGTCAGACCTAAAGATAAAAATGGCAAATTTTACATTTAAATTGAACAATATTCTAATTTATTAATACTGCTTTTAACTAATTGTTGGCGAGACCACAGTTAAGGATTTTTAACAAAGCAAGAGTCAGGAACTGGGCTCTGTTAAATAATTAATAAATCATATAATAATCTGTACTCGATAGCTTTTATTAATTCTTTGGAAATAATTTTCTTCATCAGGTTAAATATTGCTTTACATCTTTGCCAAGTGTTTGCCACAGTGATTTGCAAATACATGTTACTCTGCAGACAGAGCCTGTCTATTTGATAGCACATGTAGCATCAGGTAATAAGATCAGGTCACAAGAGACACTGATTTGTATATGTTGAAGCCGTAATCAATTAAATAAAGTATTTGTTCAGGTGAGAACATTAGAAAATGTAACTTTTAGTTATGCTTTACTGAACTTACCTCTCTGCATTTGAAATGTAAGGAAATTTAACAGGAATATTCAGAACAACCCAGCTTGCATAAACTTTCAGTATAAAAAATAGAATTTCCTTCTGGAAGAATGCCTCAGTTCTGGGAGTGATTGAAGCACTTTCTAGTTACCTATAAAGAACCTGAACACAGTTTTCAGCAATATGATGGTCTATAAAGCTCCTCTGCCCCATGTTATAGGTTTTTCAAAGAATTAAGGCAGATAAAAATGATACGTTATTTTCCCAGGCGTACCAAAGGTGATGTGGACGACAAAATGTCTTTCTGTCCTTTCTGACTGCAAACAATGGGAATTGAGCTATTTTTACCAGCTAGTTCGACCTGCCTGGCTAACAATAGGTTACATATCCACTAACTCGTGTTAGAATAAATAGGATAAGTTAATTATTAGCAAGCCAGGCCTCAGTGATTTGCATGTGATTAAAGTGTGGCTTATTACAGATCCAATCCAGCGACTGAAGTGAATGTAGAAGTGAGAGCCCAAATTCTCATAAAGGTCCAGTTTGCAACATATACAAAAGAAATGATAGAGAATGGAGTGGATCTGTTTGCAATGGGGACAAATATTTTGCCTGCACCTCTAGGAACCCAAATATTTCAGGGAAAATATTAGAAAGGAAAAGGGGAAAAAAAGCCAAATCAGAGGTAGGAGACTGTAGAGAATGAAAACATCAGACATTAGATGCTCTGAAAATATTTGGATTGCACAGTAAATGAAAAAAATTGTTTTAAATTGTTTGTTTTAAAGACTGTCAGGTTTTTACTATGAGATCAAAAGCACTCTTGTGCAAATTAACTAGCTGAAGCTAGATTAGATCTGTGTTTGAAAGTAATGCTTTCTCCAGTTTTGGAATCTCAATTCAATTAATATGCAGGTACATTATGATCTTGCACATGCGAATTGGTATTAAAAATACTCAGCTATGTTATCCACCTGGTTTGAGTTGTGTACTTAGTCGCTTTAGTTATACTTTTAAAAAAAGCTCCCCGAAACTTAACATAGAAACATTTTAATATTGACTTTTCACTCAGAAAAGTGTAATTGACATTTAAAAACTAGATGATACAAAGGTTACTTTTGCACAATAACGGTGAATCACTCTGGATTAAAATGCAACTTGCAGAATGGGCTCTTCATACATTGAGCTGAGCTTGAAGCGATTAATCACCAAGTTCTCTGGAAATAAACGGAAGCTATTTATTTGTTGCACAACAGGATGTTTGCATCTGTAAAATATCAGCATTCGCACAAATACGGAATTTGTTTAAAGCTCTGTTCAGTGCCAGAGAACTTATTTGTACCCAGTAGGCTTTCTGTGGCCAGTAGTGTTGGGTACATGAGGCATCCTTTGGCCCATGTAGGAGTTTGTTGCTGAGTTCTCACCCAAGAGGAGTTTGTGCTGGGCTGCAACTTTTGCTCTGCTTCGCAGCCCCTCGCAGCTTACCTCCTCGACACACGCTCCACCTTCTTTGGTCTGCCTTTGCCAAAGCCCAAAGAGGTTTTGGGACAGGCACATGGAAACTGCTTCTGACATTGGCAAATGGCAGGTAGGGAATTGAAATGCCAAGAGAACACAAAGAGCTTCATTGGAGCAAATCGATTTATCTCTGCTTCAATGAGAATTATGTTTCTCCAGGGCACGTCTCTTGATTGAGGCAAATCTAAATCACTTGCAGAGGGTTAATTCATAATACGCAGCAGTGTTAAACAAATGATTTGGTCTGTTTTTCATATTGTCCTCTGTATTCTGAAAAAAGAGGAAAAAAAAACCTTTCCTACTTCTTAGATCTTTCATCTGGATTCCCCCCCCCCCCCAAAAGGATGTGAAAATTGGAGTAAACATTTCTGGAAGCTGTCTTTTACATTAGTCTTAGTCTATCCATGTATGTTTTGTCCCTAATAAGAATCCGCAATGCTTCAGCAGGTTGAGATAAATTCATTCCTGGTGCTTCTGCACCATCTTCAGTAGGCTTACCACTGTGAAGCCCTACTGGTGCAGCAGATTTTTGCCTAGAGCACACCTTTGTATCAGCAGTAGATTTTCCACAAATACAAGAGAGACAATGAAATGTCTGTGAGTCCAGTGGACTTAGCAGGTGCTGTCATATTAGATTATTTCTTAATAAATTGACCACACATCTGAAGCAAGAGCCATCTCTTGTGCCATAGCTGATAAGATATAAAATCTGGTCTAGTTATCCTTTGTTTGCCTTATGTGATTTATTTTTACAGGTTTAGTCACTTTGTTTCTTCAGTCACAAACTATGCCATTCAGAGGTAAAATAAAGAGCGTGCAATATACTGGTTTTCCACCTGTGTCAAAATCCCTTGGCCACCTGAGATGAATTAAAAGAACAAAATTCCCATTTTCAAACAGAAATATTTCCATTGTTCTAATAAGGGATTGGATTTACACTTTTAAAACTCATTATAGTTACTAAGTCAGTGTAACCAGTGTATTCCAAAGTGTTAGGTGTATTGATAACTAGATTACAGTTCTTGTTAGTTTCAGGTAAAAATAATAGGTACTAGTCTCCCTGTTGCTTTAAGGAGAGTAGAACTTGACTCCTTTTCTTTAGTTCTCTGCATCTCTAAGTACAACTTGTGCTTTTGTTGTATCAGTTGTTAAAACTAACCAAGAAAAATTCATCTGAAACTGTTCTTTGTTATTTTTAGGTTTATTCTCTTAAAGTGTCCAGGCTAAGGCTTGGAGAAACCAGCCACCATCATTGAGCCCAGCAGCTGGAGCGGCAGCGAGAGTCCTGCCGAGGACATTGAGAGAATGAGTGATTCTGCCGATAAACCTATTGACAATGACGCAGAAGGGGTCTGGAGTCCAGATATTGAGCAGAGCTTTCAGGAGGCCCTAGCTATATATCCCCCTTGTGGGAGGAGGAAAATCATATTGTCTGATGAAGGCAAAATGTATGGTAAGTCACACAAACCCAGCCCCTTTTGAAAACAGTGCAGTAAAGATTGCCTGAAGCTTCTTTACTTTTGTAGAGAAGAGAGAGGCTTCTAAAGTGGTGGGAGTTCATAGGAGTGTTCCTGAAAATTAGAGGTCTTGTCTGTTGTTTATATGAGAACCTAAACAACTCATTTGCGGTGGGACCTATTGTGCATATACTCCAAAATCCCAGCCTTTTTATGGCAAGGAGGTAGCTTTTTTAACAAATGAATTATGGCAATAGCACAGCCGACTGTTGATCACTCATGCCTGTGCACCATTCCACATTTTCTCCCACTTCTTATTGTTCTGTGACTGGGCTAAAAAAAAAAAAAATTGAATGTGTTGTGTAGTGATAAGTAGAAAGTTTGCATTAGTTCTGAAGTCTTCCACAAAAGTTTTAAACGTATTCCAAGAGTGTAACATGACTAAGAGACAAGCAAGCAGTATTCATGCTTACTGAATAGGAAAGCACTTTTTACAACTGAAATCCAGCTTCGTGGTTGGCAATATATATCACAACGAACAAGGAGGTAGATAAAAACCTTTCCTGCTATTAGTTTATGGTGAAGTTCTCTGACTAACACAGTCCCATGTCAGTGAGTGACTGCAAAGTCTTCCCTTCCAGCTGGGGCTCCCATAAATTATCAGATGTGCTGACAGTATTAATAAATATATTTGAAGTTTTTTCCGCATAGGCCTAAGTTATTTCTAGTTTTAGTTCTTTCCAAGTTGCTCCAGCTAATCTCTGACTTTGAAGGCTTAAGCTGCGTTTCCCTTCCCTTTCTCTCTCCCCCGCCCCCACGCCCTTTTCAAAATTATTGCTGACTGTAGTTTTTTCATCCCGGCATTGTGGCAAGCAGATGGCAGGTTATGGCGCCACTCTTGATTCTCCCAGAAGCATGGCATGTTTAGCAATGTTGTCTTTTGTGCAGTAGGCTTTTTTCGTGAGATCAGAAATCCTTACCTGGTGCCTCCGTTTCTGACCATTTAGTGAAGAACTTACTCCTCCACAATCTGCAAATATCTTTTCGCACAATGGGGTGTTTTGTGTTGAGACACAGGCGTGCTTCCCCAGAAGAGGTTCAGTAGGAATCTGCCAAGCAAACTAAAGCAGATGGTACTGCAGCTGCCACCAGCTGTGAATCTCTCCCTTCTCCCCCAGGACGGGTCGGATGATGTAATGGAAAAAGGGGGGAACATTCTTTCTGCGGGGTTGGAGTCTCTCACAGCCTGTCAGTGTCACAGAGAGGCAGAAACAGACCTCAAGGCATTAGTTTGCAGCTGTCATGTGACCCTGGAAGCCAAATGAAACATAATGTCTGGAAAATAGGCTGGTGATGAAGCATCTCAGCTGCTGTTGGCAGAAACTTTCTAGACCGCTCTTTCCCGGCTCAATTGGTTTTTCTCCCA